CTGGGGGTGCTAGGAGCGAGTGCCCCTCCCCCATCTGCGTCCCCTCCGGCCCCCGCCCAGCAGGGGGTGCTAGGAGCGAGTGCCCCTCCCCCATCTGAGTCCCCTCCGGCCCCCGCCCAGCAGGGGGTGCTAGGAGCGAGTGCCCCTCCCCCATCTGAGTCCCCTCTGGCCCCCGCCCAGCAGGGGTTGCTAGGAGCGAGTGCCCCTCCCCGCAGCCCAGGCCCATGCAGTCCTGGCCCAGCAGGGGGCACTGAGGACTGAGTGGTTCCCCCCACTGTCCCTGGCTGTTCCGAGCAGTGGGGGAAGGTTGGAAAGGGGAGGGTTGGCGGATTCTTTACTAGACCCCTTGTGACGGTGCCCGTGGGAGCCAGCTGACGTCACTCAATCTGGGTGAACTGCAAACAAAACGGGGCAGACAAACCCCAAACGCTGGTGGATCTTCCAATACTGAGATTTACCAACCAGCCCAAAACAGCTTCTTAGGTACCTCACTGGTTACTCAGAGTCCAACCAACGCAGTTCCCTTAAAGTGCCCAGCGTCCGGCCTCCGTCCAGACACACTTGTCGGATATGATGATGATTACTGAAAATCTTATCTCATCATATAAAAGAAAAGGTTCTTCCAACCCCAAAGGATCAGCCACATACCCAGGTCCAATTATAACTTAGATCTTACCCACAATACACACTATAGCCAATTCTTATTCATTAAACTAAAATTTATTTAAAAAGAAAAGAGAGAGAGTGTTGGTTAAAAGATCAATAGACAGACAGACTTGAATTCAATTCTTGAGGTTCAGATACATAGCAGAGATGAGTTTGTAGTTGCCAAAAGTCCTTTTAGAAATAGTCCATAGGTTATAGTCCAATCTCCATATTCAGGGTGACTCCAGTCAGTTCAGTCCATTCAGACTCAATTCCTATGGCTTAGGGTTTCCCCTTCTTGAAACCCAAAGCAGATCTGAGATGAAGCAGGATCGTGTCCCAGGGTTTTTATACATTTCCAGCAGCCTTTTCGCCTGAGAAAACAATAGGCTTAACTTTCCTTCTCCCAAACATCCTGGCAATTAGCACAGGGTAATTTATCCATTGAACAGTTCAGATACAGATTACCACAACCTTCAAAGAGACACTGAGACAATAATACTATTTCACTCAAGTGTCTTCCTAAATGTTAATATTCCTTTTTTGATCTTTGAATCAAAGCTGTAGCAATAGACAAGACTTGTTTGCTTACATCACAAGACCTGAGCAAACACCTCCCCTTCTACCTTTTACAACCCCGGCTGCATTTCAAAGCTCTGTTCATTTACAGATCTTCCTAACCAGTCGCTAAAGTTCGGCCATGGGTCAGGTCAGTCTGGGAGTTAATTAACTCTTTCTGGCTCTGTCACCTTTCAATGAGATATTATATCACACTCCTAACGTCACACTTCTCTCCCTGCCCCTCGTTCCGGGCCCCATTCTCCCTCGGGCTGAGCTGTCTGGCCAGACTGTGCCCCCCAGGAAGCGGTGCAGTCTGCCCTCTAACCAACTGTCCATCTCGATTTGAGACCCAAACTCCAGTTCCACTAAATGCCACGGCCAGGCTGACAGCCCCTAGCTGGCAGAGCATTATAGTGCCTGCCTTGTCGACCTGTTTTCCCTGGCAGCTGCCTGGGAGGGACGGAGCAGAAACAGACAAAGCTGAGGTGTGTTAAAGAGGGGTAGTAGAGACCGGGAGGGGAGGGAGAGCAGCCGCTGCACTTTCCCCTGGTCACAGCACAGATACCACGGGGCACCCAAGGGAATTGACAGACAGCAAAAGGGAATACTGTAGAGAATGCACATGTAGTCTGTGGAACTCACTGCCACTAGATTAAGAGCTGGGTAGGGTTAAAAAAAGAATCCGATGTTTCTATGGAGAATGAGAACAGTACAAAGAAGCGACCTGGCTCCTCCTGCAGGGCGGGGGCCAAGCCCAGTGGCTGTACCCAGGGCTGGGGGATGGCCGGTCAGGGCAGGCTCCTGTGCCTCCCCCAGAGGCAGCCAGTGCCAAGGAGCAAGCTGCTCCAGGCTAGCAATCTCGCTGCCCGTCACTGCTGCTCCCCTGGCCTGGCTGCGGGGCCGTGGGAATGGCTCTGAATGTGGCTCCTGGCAGCCATGCCCCCGCCACAGCTCCTGGCCCCTGCTGGATGCCCTCCGGAGCATCTGGTTGCTATGGGGCCAGGGTCATTACACCGTGCGGCACTGGGGCTGTGGGACTGCCCTGGCCTCCCCCAGGGCTAATTACTGCAAGGAGGGGGTGGGGCAGGGGGTGCCCGCAGCTGCCTCTGCTGGGGCTGAGCACAGGTGCCTGCCCATGGGGCACGCAGGAGGCTGTGCTCTGCCTTCTTTGTCTCTGCTCTTGGCACACTGCAGGGCTGGCTCCTGTCCTCAGTGCCCCGGAACAGCCAGTGGCAAGGTCTTCCCCGCAGCAGCTGCCCCCTCTGGTTGGACCCCGTCCCTGCCAAGCCAGGCCCCACGCACTGGCAATACACCTTGCGAGCTGCTCGCCAGAGGCCCCTTGTCCCAGGGCTGTGAGCTTGGAGCACCAGGAGACCTGGCACGTACCAAACCGAAGGCCGTGGGATGGGAGCTCAGTGATGGGGCTGGGCAGTGGCCTTGGGGTATGGGATGGTCCTGGGTACAATGCCAGGCTCAGGCTTGTGCTCCAGAATCGGAGCTGCCCCCTAACGAAGAGCTCTAGCCCCATGGCGTGGGAAAACCTCCCAGACAGGGCCCCGGTAACCAGGGCAGGAGGCCTGCCTGAGTCTGCAGAGAGCCTGAAGCAGGAGGGCAGAGGGGAACGGCGGCTCACGGCAGCACTGGTGGCTGGAACAGACCTGGCAGGTCTCTGCTGGCAGCCGGGGTCAGGCTGCCGCCGCGGGAGGCTCGTCTGGGGCGTGCATGGACAGGTGACAGGGATCCTGGCAGCTCGGTGCAGGGCGTTCCCGGGCTGGCTGCTCTGTGGGTGGGGAGGGCGGTGACGAGCCGGCAGGAGGAAGGGGCTGACCCTCCCCCCCATCCGCAGGGCGCCTATAAGTGCAGCAATTAACGGCTCTGGCTTCTGAACAACCACTAATGGAGCCTCTGGCGGGGGCCCAAGGCCCTGCTGCTGGGCGGGGGCAGGGCAGGAGAGTGCTTCTGGCAGGCCGTGGCTGGGCTGGGCTGGTTCTCCCTCTGCCCCACTTGGCAGAGTTCTTCTGAGAGGCCATCTTGTCACTGCCCCCCAGCCCGGTGCGCCGCCATTCCCCAGGCCACGCCTCTGCCCCATGGGGGGTTAGACAAGGGGCCTCTCACCCTAGGCAGGAGCACGGCCACCCCATGCCAGCCTCACCACCCAGAGCTGGGTGCGGTTGGACTCGTGCTGGCGCAGCGGGGCGTATTCCCTACTCCTCTGTGTGCCCTTCCCCACCTGCTCTCCAGCCAGAGCCATCTTCCCCTCCCGCACAGAGTCAGAACCCCCGTCACCCCCAGGTTTGGCTTTATGAACAAAACCTCCCAACCAAAGAACAGCTCAGCCCTTCTGCCCAGGCTGGGCTGCTCCAAGGCTCCTCTCTCCAGCCTGCTCAGCCCGCACCCTAGATCCTCTCTCCCCAGGGAGCCACTGCCCCGGCCCTAACACCCAGCAGGGTAATGACCCTGCCTGGGGGAGTCACCAGCACCCACTTTCCTGGCTGACAAGTGGGGCTCAGGAATGCCAGCGCCAGCCTCAAAAGTGCCTGCAGCCTCCTGCCCCATCGGGCACTGGCTCCCAGAGAGGCTCATTAGTGATGTGCCCGCCTCCCTGGCTCAGCCAGGTCCCAGTGGAGCTGGGCAGTAAGTGCAGAAGGCTCATGTGGGGAAGTCTTAATGGCTGTGTGAGGGAGAGGCGCTTGCTGGGCCCGAGATGGAGGCGGGGGCAGGAGGGGCCGTGGTTTCTGTTTCCTCAGACTGGAGCCTGAGCTGCCTCTGCCCAAGGAGCAGACGAGAAGATGCTGCACAGACTCCTGCTGGGTGGCCTCCTCTGCACCACGCTGCCTACCAGCTTCCTCGGCACAGGTAGGGCACCCCCTGAGCTCCCCAACCCCCTCGGCATGGAAACAGTGCCCTCAGCTCCCTAATCCCCTCGGCACAGGTAGGGCACCCCTTCATTCCCCAACCCCCTCGGCACAGGTAGGGCACCCCTTGGCTCCCCAACCCCCTTGGCATGGGAACAGTGCCCTCAGCTCCCTAATCCCCTCGGCACAGGTAGGGCACCCCTTGGTTCCCCAACCCCCTCGGCACAGGTAGGGCACCCCTTGGCT